AACTAGATCATAAATCACTAAGATGACGTTTGGTTTATATATTCAGAAATATGATTCAGAATCATTCTGATTTTACGTATATTTTTTGTGAGAAAAACACTGTAAAGAACTATGAATCATGATTCAGAATCATTGACGAATATATAAAACAAACGTCTCCTAATTGATTGCAATTCTTTAAGCATTTACATTACTTTCCTTATCAGCTTCTTCCCCGTACCTCAAATCATTCAAAAACTGATATCAATTCGACAAATTCAACAATGTTCCGTTGACTTCCTCTTTTGGAGGTCTGATCGTTTGTCAGAGATGGTTTATATGATATTAGCTAAACAACCGTCAAGTTAGCTCTGACATGAAAGGTGCTCCGAATGAAGCTGCTCTGACAATGAGTGTACTCCAAATGAAGGCTACTCCAAATGAAACTGCTCCAAAAGATGAGCATGCTCCAAACGAGATTGCTCCGATAGTGAGCTAGGCGAGAATAAGTTCAAAGGAATGATGCCTAATATGAAAAAGGTTTCATTAAACATACCAAGACATGAAGAGGATGCTCTGGGAGACATGTTTGCCATAGAAGGAGCCTTCATTAGGCATGTCTGGCACGGAGAGAGCCTCCATTGGAGTCAAAACACTGAGAATCAATCTTAACGAAGAGGAAGATGTTCTAAGGTGTGGACTTAAGAATTTATAGGCTTCCAAAAGGACAGGAGGAAGACTTTTTGAGAATTCTCCATTCTCCATTTGTATTTAATCCTATTAATTTTGAAAATCCCCTAAGCGAGATTTAAATTGGATCGAATTAAACGACAAACGGACATACTTGATCACAATTCAGAAACATAATTCAGAATCATTCTGGTTTTACGTATATTTTTTGTGAGAAAAACACTGTAAAGAACTATGAATCATGATTCAGAATCATTGACGAATATATAAAACAAACGTCTCCTAATTGATTGCAATTCTTTAAGCATTTACATTACTTTCCTTATCAGCTTCTTCCCCGTACCTCAAATCATTCAAAAACTGATATCAATTCGACAAATTCAACAATGTTCCGTTGACTTCCTCTTTTGGAGGTCTGATCGTTTGTCAGAGATGGTTTATATGATATTAGCTAAACAACCGTCAAGTTAGCTCTGACATGAAAGGTGCTCCGAATGAAGCTGCTCTGACAATGAGTGTACTCCAAATGAAGGCTACTCCAAATGAAACTGCTCCAAAAGATGAGCATGCTCCAAACGAGATTGCTCCGATAGTGAGCTAGGCGAGAATAAGTTCAAAGGAATGATGCCTAATATGAAAAAGGTTTCATTAAACATATCAAGACATGAAGAGGATGCTCTGGGAGACATGTTTGCCATAGAAGGAGCCTTCATTAGGCATGTCTGGCACGGAGAGAGCCTCCGTTGGAGTCAAAACACTGAGAATCAATCTTAACGAAGAGGAAGATGTTCTAAGGTGTGGACTTAAGAATTTATAGGCTTCTAAAAGGACAGGAGGAAGACTTTTTGAGAATTCTCCATTCTCCATTTGTATTTAATCCTATTAATTTTGAAAATCCCCTAAGCGAGATTTAAATTGGATCGAATTAAACGACAAACGGACATACTTGATCACACATAGCTCACCAAACTATAACTCATAAAAGTTCTCCAAACGTGATTTGGGTCCAACAAGCAAATCTAATAACATCGTGTGACGTCATGGTTGAGCTTGGACCATCAAATTCTAATACAAAATTGGGTATCAACAATAAATAATTACATTATCTTAATCTTACTATTATTAAAAGCTAATAAAAGCCAGAACTTTTACACCGCTTAATACAATTATTTCATAAATTCAAAGTCATTATAGGTTAGAGATGTTATTAGACCTGTTAAATTTCGAAAAACTTCCTCCACTTTTATATAAAAAGATAAAACTGTCAAAAGATAAAAATTCAAAGAATAATTTGGAAAAAAAAATTGTTTTTTTTGGGTAATTTGTGAAAAAAAAAAAGTTTAGAAACCCTTGATAATAACGACACGTCGCACGTCGTTTACTAGACCTTTGTCCTCGATATCAGCCAATGAATGGCCTGGACACGTCATCACCTTCCTCGCTCTAAAACCCTAACTCCCCAGAAACCCTAACTTTCTTTTTCCTCCGCAAAAGAAAAAACTCAGAAGCTTAGCCATGGCGATTCCTAGCGACGCTGGCTCGGAAGCGCTTCATCGCCTGAAGACGACCGACCCTCCGCAGTGGCTGGCGCCGAGCGCCGCGCTCTCCCAGACCGCTCGCGCCGCGTCGCAGCACCTCTTCTCGTCTCTCAGGCCGTACGCTCCCAAAACTCCGTTCGAGCAGCTCCTGGTCGAGGGCTTCGACGCCGAGCAGATATGGCAGCAACTCGATCTCCAGTCGCAGCCTCTCCTGTCGAGCATCCGCCGGGAATTAAAGCGGTTCGAGAAGGATCCGGAGGAGATTCGGAAGCTGAGAGTGGCCATGGAAGGCAAAGAGAGAGAGAAGGGTTTGGAAGATGAGGTAGAGAAAATGGAAGTGGAAAGTGATGATTTTGGTGAGGATTTAGAGGATTTGGAAGAAGAAGAAGAACAACAACAGCAAAAAGAAGGAAAGGAAGATGAAGACGAAGACGAGGACGAGGACGAGGACGAAGAAGGTGAAGAGGGAAATGAAGGGGGTGGAATTGAGGATCGGTTTTTGAAGATGAAGGATTTGGAGAAGTTTTTGAAGGAGGATGAGGAGAGGGAATATGGATCAAAGAAGAAAGACAAGAAGAAGAAGAAAGTTGATGATGGGGATCAAGAGGAGAATACTGAAAAAGAAGAAGAAGAAGAAGAAGCAGGGGATGATGAAGATGAAAATGGAGATGGAGAAGACGAGGATGAGGACAGTGAGGAGGTATATTTTGATATTTCTGTAAATTGAGAGAACAAAATATCATGAATGAATGATTTTTACGTTGAAACTACAATTATTCTCCTGAAAAAAAAACTGGATTTTTTTTCGATATTTCATTGAAGTATCTCTAATTCAACTTCGTGTTTGCTGTTTCAGATGGGAGAATTTGGGCTTGATGATGATGAAGACGAAGACACGGACGAGTTGGGAAATGCAAGGTATGGCATTCTTTTGATGTCTTTCTAATATATGCTTTTACTTTGTGTGGTATATTGGTATATTTGGTTCATGGATTTATATGAAGAAGTGATTGTGATATAATTTATGCTTGCTTGCCCAGTTCTAACACTATATGAACCAACTTTACAACTGTACGAAGAGACATTGTTTGTTTATATTGATTGTTTGTGTTTCATCCGTGTTCATGGGGTTATATTCAGATACGAAGATTTCTTTGGTGGTAAGAAGAAAAAGCCATCCAAGAAAAAATCCAAGTTGACTGGTGATTTGGAAGGTTCGGGCATGGATGATGACGGTGAAGATGATGAGGTATTTGAAAATCATGTAATGAATGATCAACTTGGTTTGTGTTCTTGGTCTAGCAATAGTAAAAACTTTAATAAAAAAGTAATTTTTCTGTGGCAAGGAAGGAACACAGTATTTAATTAATTCTTGTTTACCTTTGTTTTCTCTTTCCAATAGAAGCAACAGACTCTTTCTACTCACGAAAAGGAGCTTGCGAAGCGTAAATTGAAAATAGAGCAGATGGAGAAGTCGAACTTAGAGCCGAAGACTTGGACCATGCAAGGAGAGGTAGGCAAAATCATTGCTTCTTAAGTTCCCCTCAGATACACAATTCTTGAAGTGAAGAAATTTAATATGATTCACACTTATGTGTATAAGAGTTGTGTGCTTTGTTTTTGGGGGGGGGGTGTGAGGGGGGTGGGGGGTGCGGAATTTTCTCAATCGTTATTGGCCAACAGGTAACTGCTGCAAAAAGGCCGAAGAATAGTGCATTGGAAGTTGATTTAGATTTTGAGCATAATATGAGACCCCCGCCTGTCATTACAGAGGAGGTTACAGCTTCTCTCGAAGATATAATCAAGAAGAGAATTCTCGAGGTAACCCCCATCTTTGACCATTAACTTTCTTAATTTGCTTGCATCTAAAATGTTGAGTTCAACTTGTTTATAATAAATGTGAGTTCAAACTTTGAATTTTGACATCAATTTATATTTTGAATTTACTATCTTGTACTGCTTCATTTCCTTTTAATTTTGTTCTCCATTTCCTTTTAATTTATTATTATCCATTTTTTAAACATTGAAATTCATCTTCTCATTTGGACTCCTAGATGTTTTTTAGGCTTTTTAACCTTGGAAGTTACCAACCTGCCTAGTAAAATTCTGTTTCTCATATACATTGGCTCATGTTTCTTTCATGATTGTGCATCACTTGCTTTAAGCTCTCTGTTTTCCTCTCTAACCTCCTCTATTTTGGTATCCTAAATTTCTTAGGGGCATTTTGACGATGTCGAAAAGCCACCTGCTTTACCCTCCAAAGCACCTAGAGAAGTTAAAGAGTTGGTAAGCGTTATTCTTTGAAGTCGGTGTTTGGATTCTCAACTTCAATCTGGTGCTCCTTCTGAGGAACTAACTATTCATTTTTTTTTTTTGGGCTCGGTAATGCAGGATGAGAATAAGAGCAAGAAGGGTCTGGCTGAAATTTACGAGGTTTGAGATCTGACCCATGTTCATCATGTGCTTTTTTGCTCCTCTTTTCCTATTTTCCAATATATATGTGTATTTCTCTTTTTTCTGTTTTGGACCAAACCTCCAAAATCAGGAGGGAAATACTATTGGTATATATGAAAAATGAAAGAAATGCAAAGGTAAAACAGCATTAACTGCTTAATTCTTTAATGAATAAGGCGTGGCACATTTGTTTTCACTAGCAATAAAACTAGGAAGACAAGAAGATTTAAGATCTCAAGCCATGATTTGTAATGGATGTTGTTTTAATCCTTTTTTTTTTCAGGAAGAGTATGCTCAGAAGACAAATTTAGCCTCTATGCCATTGTCGTTTGCAGAAGAGGAGAAGAAAGAGGTAACCTATGAACTTAAAATGTCCGCTGACAGATTTATACACACACTCTATCATTCTTTTCCACTTTAGAGCGTTCTTTTTCAAATTTCCTATTCCGTACTTTTACTAATCTCAAATTCATACTTATCAGGCGAGCATGCTGTTCAAGAAACTTTGCTTGAAATTGGATGCTCTTTCTCATTTTCACTTCACTCCCAAACCGGTACGCTTTCAATTTTAAAACCTTTATTTATTTCATTTCAGTTTTTATGTTATTATCTTTTCTATCTTTTATCACTATTTATAGTTGGAAACTTTTGGTATTCAGCGCAGCTTATTTGTTATATGTTATTTTGCTCAGGTTATTGAGGATATGTCTATACAAGCAAATGTCCCTGCTCTGGCCATGGAGGAGGTAAAGAAAACTGTTTATTCCTATGCCAATGCCAAAAGTTGGCATTTGGATAAAAGAATCATTCCCCAATATAATGCTATACCTAATGTCAAATTTGGCATATACTATGCTTTAAGAGTCAAATTTTGCCCCAAGTATAGCATATGTCAAATTTTGGCATTTGGTTGCTTATTATAATTTGATGTTTGACTTTTTTTACTTGATCATCACAACATTGCTATTAAACGTTTATGACAAACAGTAGAACAAAATTGATGGTCGCATTGGTGTATGAAATAGCATTATGCTTTAGAACATCAAATATATATGTGTGTATGTGTGTCAAATACGAAATGACATTAGCGTTTGTATTGGAGATGGTCGTAGAAAAATTAGTGATCAATAAATTAGTGTTATTTGTGATCCATGTGTAGATCGCACCGCTGGCAGTCTCTGATGCAGCAATGTTAGCTCCTGAGGAAGTATTCGCTGGCAAAGGTGATATTAAAGAAGAATCAGAACTAACACAGGCAGAGAGAAAGCGGAGACGAGCTAACAAGAAAAGGAAATTCAAAGGTACCGTTAAATTAAAGATAGTTGGATGCTCAAGGCTTTGAACGTGACAGTCAGCTTGTTGCCTGTCAAAAGCTACTGTTTTGAGACCAATTCAATAGCATTACAAAACTCTCCTTGTATGCTCCCATCTGATTTTAGACCACCCTCATTACTTTTTAAGCTTGAATAGCTGTCTGATTGAGTGGTGGTTAGATTATTCAAGTGCTTTTACATTGTTTTTTTTTTCCCTGCCACTATTTCGCTCGCGTTATGTGTGTGGAGCCTAGTTTTGTTGTTCCTTTAAATTTTCTGCTTGCTTAAAGACTCATCGCATTTACCTCTGCATCAACCATTAATTTATTTTCAACTTACAGCTGAGGCAGCAAAGAGAACTGCAAATAAACCCCAGGATGGCACATTGCTAAACAATAATGACGGTAACTTTTGATTTACTTGGCTACGCTTGGTGTTCTTTTTTTATTTCATTTATGTTTGCTCAAGTTTGGAACATTCTTACTTCTGCAGCTGTGGCAGAAAAAAAGGATGACGAAGAAGGCGCGGGAGTAGCACGATAAACCAAAACAAAACGACACATTTGATGACTAATTTATCAACAAATAATTTCCTTGGAAACCATCATCCTTGAAATTGAGGCAATGGAGGGTTATGAGATGCTGTACTCAAAATTAAATAAGTTTCGAGGGCGGCTAAAGGAAGTTGAAAAGAAAGGGAGAAAAGATGGAGGAGCTGGGATTGGTAATTATTGCTATTTCTGAACAGAGAAGCCCTTGGAAGGGAATATGAAAATTGTTGCAAGATATAGGTTTTAAGGAAACTTGACATAAAGAGTTGGCACATTTTTTGGCTTTTTTCCCCGTTTAGATTAGAATGCAAAGATAAAATTTTGGTAGAGGCGAAAATGATTTAGTATTGACTTATATATAGTTATCATTGTAATCAAAGCAGTAAATTATTTCCTGTGTCACACACTTGTATTCAATTTTGCTATTCATGCCAGTCAAATGACAGAGGTTATGAAATCCTTAATTTTGATGTACGGGCAAATCAGGTCAATAGGATTATAAGGATTTTTTTGTGCTTTAATATTTTATTCTTATTTTCACAAATCCTCCCTAAACTGTTTAGTACATGACACTATTATTCTAATTTGGAAAATCGTACCTCCGAACTCCAAAATTGTTGTAAAATTTTGAACGGAACAAATCATTTTAACCCCGTTTATTTTACTGATTCGAGTTTTGTTACAGTAAAAAATTTTCACATAAAATTACATTTCAATTCGAATTAAAAATTTTAATTAGCGAATTAAACAGACCTTAATAGCACATGATCTGAGTTTGTGGTATGATGCGATCATAAATAACCTGCTAAAATTATCAAAAAAAAAAAAAAACTGCTAAAAAGTGAGGTTCTTTTTTCAGTAATCCAAGGACCCAAAAAAGATATATGCACAGGACTACATGAACAGCAGTCAATTGGTTACACGTCTACGTATTTCTCATCAAATAAATTGTTTTACATTGAACGGAAGATATTTTTATTCATAAATATAGAAGCGAAGTTGCTAAATAAACTGAAAAAATGGATATGAAAAGTTGCCGATGAAAAAAAAAACCTCTGGCAAACTAACCTAAGCTGTATAATAATGTCTCATCCCTAACTATTCTAGGCCAACCCACCATGAAAGGTGAGCACAGTAAAAGCTAAACAACAACAAAATTCCAATTGGGACATAACCCGCTTTCCTATTTCTTCTCCCCAGTCATTGGGAGAATGGAGGGCTTCTGAATTCTGATCCTATATTTTCCATGTTTTCTACTTGTTCAAGTTTTCTTCAAGCCTGTCAATTGCAGCACCAACGCCGCTCTTTTTCTCTCCCCCTTGATCTGAACCAAGATGTGCAGCTGGATTCCCTTCATTCGCTTTCTCGACTAGCTTTAAATGAATCCACCCTGTTGAAACATGCAATTTCCGCATCAGCCGTCCTGTTATTAATCATCTCATGCCCTCTGTTTTATTTTCTGTATTAGAGTTTCTAATGTCTATTGCACCTTGAGCACCCATTACAAAGCGTTTGCATTCATATTGCCACAGAAAAATTCTTCCAAGTCTATTCAAACATGCATATGTTGTGCATTTCTAGGTCTCAAGGTTAGTATTCACTACATTGGTAATTATTAAAAGATGTGCTGGAGACAAAGGAATCAATTCACTTTGCAAAAGTAAATGGAGAAAGTGATAGCTCAGGGACGAAAACTCTTACCAATCGGAAAACAAACAGCAGCACCTAGGACCGAACCCATCATCACATTCCTCGCACGCCATAGGAGTGTTCCTGGCACTAGATTAGTTACAAAACAGAACAAAAAAGGTAAGCGTGATAGAAACTCGATAGCACAGGGGAAAAAAAGGGAAAAAAAAAAAAAAAAAAAAAAAAAAAAAAAATTTGAAAAAAAAAAAAAAGACAAAAAGTTGAGATATAAAAAATAGGCACGAAAAGTAAAAGGCTTGTGGCTTCTTACATATCAAACCAAATGTAGCAGCAGTAGCTGAACCAGCTCCAACGATGTTCAAGACATCGTGCACACCACGTTTCTCAGCAAGGAAATTTTGCAAACCACAAAAAGCAGCCGTGAACATCCCGAGTCGCACTCCCCCAATAATTGAGCCCCGGGTGACACGAATAAACCTCTTCTCCATCGCATCCCTCATCAAACGGTATTGTTCACGCTTGTCAGGTGTGCTCCCAAGTTTCAACATAACTTCCGCATCTTTACTCTGCAAAATGGGGCAGTGAGTCCCGCACAAGCTACATCAACCAATAACTCGAATACAATGCTTAAGGATATATCAACAGTAGTAATAGTCATATTCGACAAATCCCACTTGGAAAATTAGACAAGACGCGTAAAAATCAATAACCATGAGACAACTTGCATTCTAGTTCTAATAGTCATATTAGACAAATATCACTCGAAAGCATAGAATAAAAATCATAAAACATCAAGCATTCTATCTAGTATAACAGTCATATACAACAAACCCCACTTGAAAATTTATTAAAAGTCCTGAAGAAACTAGCATTGTAGTGTTATGCATGCAGAATCTTTTCTTTTTGAGAGAGAGAAAAAAAAAACGAAACTTTTTTTTACAGAACAATCTCTAGAAGCATTATTCTCTATAATAGGAACTTACAACTGAAGCAGAAGCCTCCTTGCTGCCTCCATATAACATGCCTGCAAATACTCCAATCACAGTTGCTGTGCCCCAGTTGACAATTCCAGCCAATTTTGGAGCACCCTATTTATTCAATAAAGTTTGAAATTAGTCTCTTCTTGTCCCTAAATTAAATCTTAAATAACTAAAAAAACATAAATCTTCAATATTATTACGAAGCAATACATGAATTAGATAAAGATTACGTTAATTAGATAAGCATTAGCCTCAATTTAGTTTAGTTCCTAAATTTTTTCACAAAAACTTGATGAGAATTCAATAGTAAAGTACACATAAATGGGAACAGTTTCTGTACCGAAATGAAGATTGTAAAACTAAAGAAATTAAAAGGCCCTAACACAATATAGAGAAGATAAAAAAATACTCACAGCCGAGACGATTTCCTCTGATTTTTCCGGAGCTTCCATGGCCAAAGCGTGCTTGAAGCTTCAATTTGGGAGTAACAGAATAATGTTCGAGAAAAGGAGAAGTTTTGTTCCGGAATCTTCTTTGAAGCAAGAAAATGAACAGCGTTTTCGATGTCCTTTATTTTCTTGGAAGCCAAACGAAGAACGTAGAAACGAAGCCAAGCGAATCGAAGAAGAAGAAGAAGAAGAAGAAGAAGCAGAAGCAGCAGCAAATAAGTCTTTTGTTATTGACCAAAAAAAAAAAAAAAGTCTTTTGTTTTGGGTTTTTAGTGCTCCTAAATTATAGTTTTTGATAATTATCCCCCAAACTTGTTTTTTTTTTTTTTTTATGCAAAACTCCCCAAACTTGTTGATCCTTGCAACGTGGGTCAAATTAACGAGGGTGGTTAAATTGGTCCCCAAAATGCTAGTGACACGCCTCCAGCGGTCCAGTCCAACAGTCACTTCTGGACCATAAGTGGAATGAAAAAGATTTTAGCAGGAAATTTTTAAAAATACCCGATTATATTTTTATTTTTATCTCTTAATATTAGTTTATATATTTTTATTTTTTAGATTAAAATTAGTTAGGGGTAAAGTATAGATATTTTTAGTAAATTAAGTATTTAAAGGGGTAGAATTTATAATTTTCTTTATAATATAAGCATAATTCAACCTTAATCATGAAAATCGATCCTTAAATATTATGTGAGAGACTCTTAATAAATTATCAACATTTATCGTTATATCTCCACCAGTGGTTTTTGAACTTTAAAATTTTAAAATCATGATTCATAATCATTTTCGGTTTACGTGTATTTTTTTAAGAGAAAATACTGTAGTAAACTACGAATCATGATTCGAATCAGGGCACGAATTTACCAATTAAATGCACTCTAAGGAATTTAAACTCTAATCTTGTCATGGACTTGTGTTTAAAAAATTTACCTGAACTTTTAATTTTAGTAATTAGTTTCTGCTCTCCGTTATCAACTTAACTAATTTATCTGTTATATTAAAACGGCTTAACAAACACATAAAGTTATTATTGAAATTTAAAATTTTGAAGGTAATTTGTCAAAGACAAAAAAAAAAAATGAAGAGGGTGAAACCCCTTTTTTTCCTCTTTTTTTGCTTTTTGTTTTTTTTTTTTTTGTTTTTTTTTTAATTCGATGTGGGAATATGGCCTCTTCTTCTTCTTCTTTTTGGTTGCAGATGGAATTTTGGAGCAATTAAAGCCCGTTGATTGTGGATGATGGTATAACCGTCTTTTCAAGCCCTGGTATACCAATTATTATCTTTTCATTTAAGGGAGGTCAAACTATAAGTTTGGCAATTTGGCATTAAGCTTTAGATACGGCTTTTTTATTAATCTTATTTTATCTTAAGTGTCAACTTGTATAATGTGTATTTCTAGCCAAAAAAAAAAAAAAAAAACTTTTATAATGTGCATTTTCAAGCTACAATTCTGTCGAATACAATGACATTATTCACTTGTTTTTTTAATCATTTTAAATTTAAATCACTTCAGCACTGTTATAGTAATGGAGAAGCAAGAACCCACTTGATTAAAGGTAACCCCATAAAAAATAAAAATATCATTTGTATGCAATTTTCCCATCACCCTGCTGTGCCAAAAAGCGGGTTAAAGCTAGCAGGATTTCAAAAAAGCTAACCCCAATGATCTTTACCAACAAATAATTCTCTCCACCTAAGAAGGAAAATAAAAATATAAAAAAGGAAACCCCATTAACAATTCAACTCCAATAGATTCTCAGACACTACACATGGGAATAAAGTTTAGCCCAAATCATCACTAAGATTTCCATTCTCTCTCAACCGCCCAAAGCAAGGTATCATTTCACTACTCTCCCACTCGATAACTCATTTCCTAGCTCAACTCCTTCCCCATTTTCCTCCCAACCAAACACAATCTCTCTCTCTCTCTCTCTCTCTCTCTCTCTCTCTACATGCACACATCCATGTTCAATATTCTTATTTTGATCATAGTTTCACTATCACTAGTTTCACTTAGCTCAAGCAATATCCACTCAAACACATGTAGATCCTATTGTGGCAACTTAACTGTTGATTACCCATTTGCCCTCCAATATGGATGCGGGCATCCGGGTTTCCGAGACCTCTTATTTTGCATGAATGATGTGCTCATGTTCCACATAAGTTCCGGATCCTACCGGGTCTTGGACATAGACTATGCTTATCAAGCCTTGACACTAAATGACCCCCACATGTCCACTTGCGATGCCATCATGCTAGGCGGCAAGGGCAACGGGTTTGCCGTTGAGACGTGGCGGTCCCCATACATGACACCTGCCGCCGATAACGTGTTCCTGCTCATCGGTTGCTCCGCCCAATCCCCGCTCTTCGAAGGGTTCCCGGGTAAGCACTTGCCCTGCCGGAATGTCTCGGGTATGGGTTGTGAGGAGTACTATGGGTGTCCGGCATGGGACATGTTGGGCCATAAGAGTTTCGGCTCGATGTCCGGGCCCGGCCCGCTGGAGTGCTGCGCATTGTCGTTTGATTCTATAAAGACTATAAATCTTAGTAAGCTGGAGTGTGAAGGCTATAGCAGTGCTTATAGTTTGGCCCCATTGAGAGTGGATGGGCCTAGTGGGTGGTCATATGGCATACGTGTGAAATACTCCGTTCAAGGAAACGACGAGTTTTGTAGAGCGTGCGAGGCAACCGGTGGCACGTGCGGGTATGGTACGGACGGCATTAGGCAATTGTGCATGTGTGGCACTTCAAATTCAACCTCAAATTGTGACTCCAGTAAGCAAAGATTTTCATTTATCTGTTCTGTTCTCTTAAATTTTTTTCTTCTGGGCCCTGAAAGCCCAGTTATCACAGCCCATGATGAAGAGCCCAATAGCTTCTAGGCTATAATTGTTCATGTAGAAAACACCTTGATTAGCTTTGTTTGTCCATCATCTTCTGCAGTTAAATCGTCATCAAGCAGAAGGATATCCTCTATGGCCGACACAATTGCAAGTATATTCCTTTTATCCAAGAACCATTGATACCTTTGACTTTTTGTAGGCCAGATCAAATTAAAAATTAAAAAACTATATAATACTATAAAAAAAGTTAACAAGAATACGACGATTCATAATTATGCCCACCAAGTAGGAAATCTTTTTTTTTTTTTCATATCATATAATTTTCCTCTTTATTTTACCATATAACATATGTTTTCTACTTTATCTACAGGATTTTTACTGTGTTTGGTGGCAATGGTGACAATCAACAGACACTAAAGAGAAGTCAGAATCTCAGTATTTAGTCATGCAAACGTCAACGTGACATTTGTGTTTTTTGAACTTTACACGTTTGCGGAGAGATGTATTTTATATAGTTTCATTTCATATCATAAAAATTATTTATTATCAGTTTTGAGCTCACAGATATGGAGAAAGGTGATGGGCTTATTCTTGTTTTCTTTGTACTTTGTAATATCAGCATCATTACTATGGAAGTGGATTTTTTTTTTTTTTTTTTATTCTTCATTTCTGCTATTGCCCACAAAAGATGTTGATATACAGCCACAACTTAAGTATAATTTGCATTCAAACTGCTAATGAGAAAATAATGTCAAGAAACTCTATCCAATCCATTTCAAACAAAAATGAAAACTACAATAATAAATAGTCCTATTGAATGATTGGGATAATGGTACGCTATGGAGTTGCCTTATTTTTGTTTGCCTTGGATGTATTCCTGAAATAAGAGATTCAAATTAATTTCAGGCACAATTTGGTAACTACGCGGTTTTAATTTTCTGCAACCATCAAACAATAGGGGTTAATATATATTGTTCTTGTTACTCAAAAAACTATAGTCGTTAAAAATCGCTATTTGATTTGACTCACATTGGAGATTTCTATCCAGCGATCGAGCGTCTTGATAGCTTTTCCAGATGTTTGTGTCTCGCGAGCCAGGGCGATCCCTTCAGCCAAGGAGTTCACACGGGAACTAACCAAGAGAGCTGCTGCTGCATTTAGGATCTACACCATTTTTTTTTTGGGCCATGAATTTGGTATTCATTTCAGAATATAACTCATAAAATTGGTGTTTTGTGGACAAGAATAATCGAGAAACTTACAAATGCATCTGCGATTGAGCTTTTCTCCCCTGATAACACACGTTTTAGTACCTCGGCATTATACTCCGGGCCACCACCTCGTAAGTTGTCGAGGGTACACCGAGGAATTCCAAAGTCCACTGCAGAATAAGTGCTATGATTTTTCAGCAGATTGAAGTACTAATAAATCATCTAAAATTCCATCTTGATCACCTTAAAGTCATAATTCAACTAGTTAAGGAGTAGTTAAGAACCAAAGAGAAGACTCACATGGATCAAAGGAGAACTTTTCAATCTTTTCTGGAGTGACGTCAAGGATTAGCCCGGGTCCTGTGAAACAAAATGAGAGTTTAGTGTATTTTGGCATACTGGCTATTTTCAATATATATATATATATATATTATATATGTATATTAGCTTATAGCAGTTAAGTTTTTCTGAAATATTGAGATAAGCACAGTCTAAAATATATTACGAATCGCATTTTACCAAGTGGGCTCATTTCATCCAAGCCTTCTGAGTGAACAACCAATGCCCTTTTCATGCCAAATCGCTGCAATGCTTCAGCCATCTTCAAGACCTATTCGATGACCACCAATATGGAAAAAGTTAACCAAAAGATAACGCTAGCCAAAGATTTTTTACAATATGCATTGTGGAATACTAGAACAGTGGCATTATTTAAGCCATTCAATCTATTTGCATGAAGTAATAGACGATCAACAGAGAAATGAGACTTCTTTTCACCAGTAAAATTTGTGGTGAATTAGAGGAATACCACTTTTAGAAAATTCATATTTATAAAATACTGTTTCCATATAAAATTTAAGACTAATTTACACATACGGTGAATAACTAGACTTCAAAAGTAGTATTATCCTAATTTACACGTTAAATTTGGTTCTACACAGCTACATGGGTAGTTTGAATGTAAAATAAGCATTTATGCACATAGATTATGTCATTTTGAAAACACCCCTTAAGATGAAGAAGGGACACTTTGTATAGGAAAAAGGGAGCTCTCAGAATTTGAAATTTCATGGGTCCTTATTGTTTGTCACGAGACTACTGAAATTTGCTCAACCATCATTTACATTAGAAGAACTAGACACTCTTATCATCTTTGCAAATGCTCTCGCAACTAAACCCTTGTATAGACCACATGTCAACAAAACCAGTTGAAGAAAAAGTTTAAAATGCTAGATATTGGAAATCCAACATGCAAAACAATTGCACATGTATGAGCATAAAGATAACACAAAAGATATCTTAAAAATATGGAGCTTACTAGATTTGAATAAAAGAATTACATCAAATTCTATGGTCAGTCCGCGACCCCTGGATGCCGATATATTGCTACAACTCTATGAACAAAAACTTACTAAATCTTCTGCGTAGACGCCAACAACAGCATAAGGAACTCTTGCAGGATTCAACAAAGGGCCCAACACATTGAATACGGTTTTCACTTTTAGCTTTTTCCTGACTGGACGGACAATCTTCATAGCTGGATGATATATTGGAGCCATCATAAAACCAATTCCTGCTTCATTTACACACCTTGCAACCCCCTATTATCAGAATAAATGGGTTCAACAAACAAAATGTAACACTCACATTACCTAATAAGAGCAATCTAATGCAATGCCAAATTTATGTACCAATGCCAAAATTTGTCATCAGAGCAAGAAAATCATTCTTCAATCCCATGCCATACTTGATGCCAAATTTGACAAAGCATATGCCATATTTTGGCGTTTGGTTGCTTATTTGTTGATTTGTTGTCTATTTTAAATAATTATAACATTGCCAAAGCTTAAATTTATGACAAAAAGTAGGTATATCATTCAAAATAGCATTATACATTGAAGTACAAAGTAGAACGCATATCAAATATATCATTTTTATATATTTCTGTGTCAAATATAGCATTAGCATTAGCGTTTGCATCAGAGATGTTCTAAGCTGCTAGTAGAAAAAAAAAAAAGAATAGAACAAATTTGAAATTTTATTTAAGAGACATGATCCAAATTTTAATGCACCAACCTCGGGTTGCAGGTCAAGAACTACTCCCATTGCTTCTAATACATCGGCACTTCCACAAGCTGAAGAACTCGAACGGTTTCCTTGCTTTAAAGAGGGAAAAAAGCACATTTTCAATCTAGATTTCATTATCTATGGCAAGAAATATGCATTTGAGGATTTAATGAAGACAAATACTACCTTTGCAACTTTGGCACCGCAAGCTGCGGTGAGTATTGAAGCCCCTGTGGATATGTTCACAGTATTTGCCCCATCACCACCCGTTCCAACAATGTCCACCGCATCAACTAAACCTTCTACCTTCACACTATGCTTGAGCATTGCCCTTGCCAATCCCACAATCTGTTTAATCACTAAAATCAATAAATGATTTCTTTCGTTACTTCCTTAAACATATGTGCCCATCAAATTTCTTCTCTTAAGAACCTAATGCTTATCAGAATTAAAGTTCGAACATTGAAATCAACAAATGATTTCTTACCTTACTTCCTTAAACATAGATGCCCATCAAGTTTCTTCTTCAAAGAACCTATTGCTTATCAGAATCAAAGTTCAATCACTAAAATTGCTTCCATTACCTCCTTAAACATAACTTCCCATCAAGTTTCTTCTTTGATGAACCAAATGCTTATCAGGATTAAAAAGAAAAAAAAAATCAACAATCTATAACTCTATTAAGTAGGATAGAATTTATTATCTCGTAGGTGAAATTCCAATGCCAAGTTATTATTTTAGCAACATGCTTAATTTAAACAAAGCCAACGTAGGGGGGGAAAAAAAACAAAAACAAAAAGAAACTTACTTCCTCATAAGTTTCTCCTTTGGCCCTCATCAACACAAGAAAAGCACTGATCAAAGCCTCGTCGGCACCATTGAGCAAGAAATCCAGAGACGCCTCAGCCTCTGCCGCCGATAAATCCACTCCACTTATCAAAGATTCAATCAACTGCCAAAACCCGCCAACCAAAAAAAAAAAAAAAAAAAAAAAAAAAAAAAAACCTTTTCAAGTTTTCCCAAATTACAACATTCAAAAGTGGAAAAAAAAAACTGAATTGAACCTCATTAAAGGATGTTGTAGGAGGGGAGGCATTTTGTCGAACAGTTGGCAGAGCTCCGACCACCGAGCTTTCTCTTGCATTTAAGCTTCTCCGGTCTGTACGGAATAGCAATGGCCGGACCGTACGGTTTTCGGGCTGAAGCTTAGAGCAGCCGTACAGTGGAGAAGAAAATCCAATTGGAGATCGAAAGCTGCACAATGCCATTCTTTTCCCTCTCAAAAACGAAAATCCCACAAAACAAAACAAAAAAAAGAAAAGAAATGGGATTAAAACTGTTTAGAGATCTGAATTCTGGGTTTGACTTAAAAGCAGGAGATTAGGACCCACATTCAAGGGTTAAAGATGTCCTAAATATGATTTTGAGAATCTGCTAAATAAATAAATAAATGATACGAATCTAAAGTTTCCAAAAATAATAATAATAATAATAATTAAATTTGTTCCTATCTTTTCATTTTTCATTTTTTTTTTGGCTCTGAAAATTTGTTCCTATCTCAAGAAAACCATTTCTCAACACTAGTGTCCAAACCAAACAGAAGCACGTCATTTTCATTAGTCCCAATATGTCACATTCTGAATATTATATTTTTCTTGGAATATGGTATTTTTAATGATTATTAGTTCTTTTTATTTATTAATTTTTATTTTTGGCGCATTGCAAAATGTCACATTTTCAATATATATATATATATATATTTTTTTTTTTCTTGAAATGTGAATGTTTTTAATAATATTGGTTCAAGTCTAGTCTGCATTTTATTTATTAATTATTATTTTGGGGCATGAAGCAGGTTGCATATTATTAGACCATATTTTTCCTTTTTTTAATTTTTTTATTTTGAGAGTGTCTATAGTAGGATTAAAACTTAGATTAAAATTGAAGGTAGAAAATGATGAAGAACTAGAAAACAAGAAATAAAATTCACACACATAATAATTTCTTCATTTATTCACAACAATATAGAGAACAAAAAAAACCCACTAACGCTGACTAGCTAGCCTACTACCACCGCGCCCCACCACTGCGTTAGATCTCACCCCTAGTGACCCTCTGGTCGTGAAACAAAAAAAGCTCAGCCGCGAACCCCGCAGACGACGCTGACGTCCCTGCGCTAGCCTCTCTGCACCTCGATTGCTGCAAGATCTGAGACGCGACTTATTTGCGATTTCAGCATTGATTACTGATGAGAATGATGTCTTAACAACAAAGCATCATATTATTTATTATTTATTTAATAAAAAAATTTATTTATTATTTTATGTACATATATTATTAAATATTATGGTTCCGTTTATTTCACTGATTTAAGTTTAGAATTTAAATTTTATTACAGTAAAAATCTCTCAAAAATAGTCACATTTAACTTTTTTACTACAGTAAAAAGCTCTCACATAAAGTCATATCTCAACTCGAATTAAAAACTCAAATCAGTAAACTAAACGGACCATGTATAAATATTATTGAAAATTCTATGATTATTTATGTAACCTTAAATATTGTATATAAGTGTTATATATGAGAGGATAATATTTAAGGATAATAATTAAAACGATATTCGTAATAAATTTAATTAATGTTTAGAATTTTTAATTAAAACATTATAAATACATGGCATTCACATTTAGAATGAAATGATGTTATCTGCATTGTTAATATGGTGAGATATTGAATAAGTATATTACACATAATGAGATTGTGTGGAATCGGGACACAAACACAATAGTATATAAATTCTAATTGAGTGTACCTATGATCATATAGAAAGATCTTAATCATGAGTTATTAGCATACTTCTATTTATGGATTTAGGTCTTTTAATTAATCGGTACGGATTCTGAGATGTTGAATTTTATCTCTTGTATTTTAGAGTCATGATGAAGTGAGTAACTGAGAATGTTATTATATAAGATGAAATTCATTCCTTCTTAAGAAAGAAGTAGATAAATAATTCTCTTGAGAATCGATTCGGCACTTGGACTAGTAGGAGCTCCGATTCAAGAATTTGTTTTATGAATCACTGTCCATTAGAGAATCAATGGCACTCAAGGATAAAGATGTAATTAGAGAGGTGAACGGATTATGCCTAGATTTTATTATGAATTATTTATGGAGGATTGATCTATATGTAATGACTATATCAAATGAACACTTCACAGTTTAGGAGTAAAATATTTCTATAATTATAAGAGTGCAATTCAAAGTTTATAGTGGAGTAACTTTTAAAATTAATATAATTAATTAATTAATTAAATAGTTTGAATTAATTATTAATTTTATTGGAGTTTAGAATTATAAGTCCATGAGTCCCCGCATCGTCATTGTAATCCTACGAAACACTAAAGGCAAAATGGGAATTATGAAATTCTAAATAGAACACTCAAGAATAATTAATTGAGAATTAATTATAAACTAAGGCCCCGTTCTTTTCGCTGATTCGAGTTTTGCTACAGTAAAAAGCTTTCAGAAATAGTCACATCTAAATATTTTACTACAGTAAAAAGCTCTCACACAACATCACATCTCAACTCGAAATAGCGAACCGAACGGGCCCTAAATAATGTGATTATTTAAATTTAAATTTTGCAACACACATGTGGAGGAGTCCACATGGTGTACACGCCCAGAACATTGGGAATCCTTATCGGATTCAGTTGCTTGCTCTCGAAGTTATGCAATTGACTTATTTGATAAGTTGTCCAATTGAAATTCAAATTAAATTAAGTTTGACTTAAATTGAAATTTGAATTTGAGTCAAAATTAGACTGCAGAATAGAGGAGAATTTTTTCTCCTTCCTTATATGCTATTTGTGCCAACCACATGAGGGAAATATCCATGTGGTGGTCGGCCCTTATGGATAAGAGAGAGAGAGAGGGAATTTTGTTTCTAATATCAATTAGAAGTGAGAGATAATTATCAAGTTTTATCTTAGAGATAAAGATAAGACTTCTTTCTGTGAGTCTGACTACTACTCTATAAATCAGAGATAAAATTAGAGAACACAATTTTTGCTCTCCCTAGAATATAGTGGCCGGTTTTTATAGAGTGAGGAAAAGAAAATTTTTCTCCCCAATTTCATGTCGTGCATGTGTTGGTGTTCGTGAAAAACTTAAGTATTTGAGTGATAATCCCGTTTTATTTCAGGTGTGCCCCCACACACGTCTTCTTAGATTCAAAGAATTTACGAGGAAGATTCGTGTATTCTAAACAAGCTTGGAGCGATGAACGTTCGTGATTAAAGAATTCAAGTTATCGACCTAATCGTTAGCTAGGTAAATTTATTCATAAATTAATTTAATTAATTTTTTCGTGTATAAATTAATATATTCTATAAAATATCTCAAAAATATTAAAATTTTTATTTTACACGATTTACTAGATACACACTCCCTTATAAAAAATCGTTTTTAAAACCAACAATTACTTCCTCCACGTCGCAAGATCTAAGATTACCGCCCAAGAACTGTCGGAGTTGAAGAATAAGAACAAAAAGACTGGTGCTCGTTCATTTGGTCCTTTAAATGCCCAAATCTATCCGGAAAGACTAAACCTTTTTTTGGATTTTGTCTGATGAATTATGTGAAATTTCTTTCATTGTTTGGATTCTCATTCTCGTAATATTTGTCCCATGAAGTATGTTTGATGAAGATTAGATGCGAATTTTTTGTAACTTCTGTGAAGGCCCGTTCTTTTCGCTGATTCGAGTTTAGAATTCGAGTTTTGTTACAGTAAAAAACTCTCAGAAACAGTCACATTTAACTTTCTTACAACAGTAAAAAACTCACACACAACATTACATCTCAACTCAAATTAAAAGCTTAAATTAGCGAACCGAACGGGTAGATTTTTCTATATTTTTTTAGTGTTCACACAATGACCGTGGTGCCGCCATTACTGGCGATTACGGGCCGGAGCGGCGCAACCAGGGGTGGTGGGTTAGCACTAGCGTCAATGGTGAGATAATTCACGTTTAAGAACTCATTAGTGTTTGGATAGAGGAGAATTGTCGGAGGTGGTGGATAGAGTCATTGGTTTGGGTTTAGTCTGGGTTCGAAGTTTTGGGTTTTCTTTTCTCTTAGTTAATTTCATAATTATTTGGTAAATCTTTTTAATCAGAGCCATTGAAAAGTAATTGAACGGCAAACAATTTCATACCATACCGATGAGGGAGAAGTATTGTCCCGACATAGACTTGCCCTTTTATTTTTCATCTTATCGTCCTAATCTTGTTTATTATTTAGGAAGTGCTTGAGATTTTAGATTCTTATTATTTTTGAAATGGGAAAATACAATCACTATTTCAAATTAAAGCTAACTCCAATAACCTCAATTATTGAAAAATTACAACTTGATAAACTAATTTCACTAGTAAATTTAAATGAAACATTTAAGGGGAATAATCGTGTATTAAGATCTGAGATCAGACATCAAAACAAATATACCAATGATATATATATATATATATATGATTATATAACAAATACTTCACAATAATCCTAAAAGAACTCCCTTGTCCATGGAAACCTAAATCGATAAACCTATAACATCAAATGAAAAAAATACTAAACCCAAACTAGCAAATTAAAAATACAACGTAACACTATAAACCAGACAAAAACACTACAAAATCAAGGTAAAAACCATTATTTTTACAGACCACAAAATAGATAAAAGCAAAAGAAAATTCCTAAGAATTGTTATTAAAATCCATGACAATGATATAATCGGGAAAAAAGCCACTAGAGAAAGCAAAAAAGCAAAAGAAAAAAAGAAAAAGAAAAAAAAAAGTGGTGTTGTCAAATTGTAGCCCAATAATGACGCTTCAGCCCAAATTGTAGCCACACAGCTAATCTTAGTTGTCAAACGTGAAACTCGCCATGTGTTGGGAATAATGTGTTAAAAATGTGATATGTAACAATATATTTATTATTTATTTAATAAAAAAATTTATTTATTATTTTATGTGCATGTATTATTAAATATTTTATGAATATTATTAAAAATTTTATAATTATTTATGTAGCTTTTAATATTATATATAAGTGTTATATGAGAAATGATAATATTTAAGAATAATAATCAAAATAATTATCATAATGAATTTAATTAAAGTTCATAATCTTTAATTAAAATATTACTAATATATATTATTTTCATTTAGAATAGAATGGTGTTATCTGCACTGTTAATATGATGAGATATGAATGAGTGCATTATGCATAATGAGATTATGTTTAACTAGGACACATACACGATTTGAATTTCTTATAATTTCTGTTAAGTATAGAAATTCAAATTGAGTTTATTGTTGGTCATGTATAGAATGATCTAAATCAT